CTTAACCACTGACCCATCTATCTAGCTCAGGGTTTTTGTTTTTAAATGGTACCAAGAAGCAGGATATGATGACTCATGCCTGTTATTCTATCACCTGGGAGGCTGATACAGGAGGACTGCTTTGAGTCTGAGGCTAGTCTGGGCTATAAAGACATTACTCTACCACTAATACCTCTGCCCCACAAAAGGTTCTTATGCTTAGTAGATAATGGGAAGACATGAAAGTTTTTTTTTGTTTGTTTCAAGGTAGGAACTCACTGTGTAGCCCAGGCTGGGCTTGAGCTTTTGGTCCTCCTTGTCAACGTCCCAAGTAGCTAAGATTACAGGTATGAGCCACTGCACCAGGCAAGTTTTAATGAAGGGGTAAAATATAATGAGATTTGCTTTTTAAGTCATCACTGTAGTATCCCTGTGGAGAATCAGAGTTCAAAGAACAAGAATTGACTAGAACACTATTTAAATAATTCAGCCTTAGAGGTGAAAATACCTATACACAGTTCATAATTCTGCCCAACACAATTGAGACTCCTACCTTCACTTGAGCAGTAGAGATCGAACTGTCTTTTCAATGTCAATTTCTGTTCCAAGAGACAACAGCTTTGAACTTTAACTTTATATAGCTTAAACTCTGCCAGTCATACATTTTTAATTTTCATATATTTTTTTCCAGACACGGTCTCATGTAACTGAAGCTGGTCTTGAACTCACTTTGTAGCTAAGAATAACCTTGAACTCCTGATCCTCCTGCTTCCACCTCCCTGGGATTACAGACATGTGCCTCCAAAACGGCCAATCCCCTATTTCCTGAGGAGGCTGAGCAGACATACATATAACAACTTTCCAAATCTCCCAATAGACTAAACTCTGTGTATTGTTTATCACTGAATTCCCAGTGAGCAATAAATAAATATTTGCTTAATAAAGTGCTACTAGACTCTGAGTTCCTTAAGAGCAAAGTCCAGGTCTTTGTCGTGTTTGTTTCTTAAGCACCTGACTCAGGGCTGGGAATAAGTTTTTCAGAAAATGGTTCTTGATTAAAGTGGTCTAATTAATTAACAACCAGAAGTGCTTCCTACTAACTACATTTCTCCAACATTACTTAAAAGATACAAACTGGCATACTTTTCACAAGAAGGTAAAAGAAGCCTGCTGGGAAAAATGCATTTGAAAGCAACAGAATTACAACAATTAGATGATTTCAAAAGTAATATTCTTCATTGGTGTGAAAAGGTAACTTTTTATTTTTTTCTGAGAGGGAAGCATTTGGCAAACCCTATTTGTCATTGTGTGGCTAGTAATAAGTCTAGGTCTTTTTTTCTTTTTTGGTCTTTTTAAGACAGGGTCTCCCTGTAGCCCCAGCTGTCCTGGAACTCACTATATAGACCAGGCTGGCCTTGAACTCAGAGATCCACCTGCCTCTGCCTCCTGAGTGCTGGGATTAAATGCATGCGCCACCACGCCCTGCATAAGTCTAGGTCTTAATTACATCTTAGGTAGATCACCACAACGGAGTCTGCTTTTGCTCCAGCCCACTTGTCAGGCTAGTTACATATTTGTCTTCTCAAAGTTAAAGTATGAACTTGAGGGCAGGACATATTCTGATTTATGTCACAGAACTTTTCACTAATATGTTTCTTGTTGAGTTTTCTGTTTGTTTCAGGCAGGGTCTTCCTACTGCAATGTTGCCCTGAGCGGCCTAGAACTTGAGATGCTCCTGCCTCTGCCTCCTGGGTGCTGGGATGACAGCATGGGCCATTCCCGGCACAGCCACACTTTATTGAACTTTGTGCTCCAAATATCATGGTTAGTGCTTTCATATATCTTATTAAACTTCAGTCCTAAAACTCTTAATTTAAGTTAGGTGTTATGTTTATCTTATGGATAAAGAAACGAAAATCACAACTGGTAAGTAACTGGTCCAAATAGAGTAAACAGCTTCTTAGGGCTGAGCTCAGTGCTGACTGGAAAACCTGTCCTATCATTAGGACATCAGGAGTTGTCATTTTTTCCAGTAAAAATTTGACAGCCGGAAGGAGATTATTGGGGTTTCTGTAAATGTTCAACTTAATCAGCAGCTATGTGGTAACCCTGAGGGCTAAAGTTAGACCTTCAAACCATGTGTGAGTGCTCATGTATAGAAAGCAGGGGACATGGAGGTAAGTCCTATAATTGCACCCTTGGAGTTCTGCCCCATTTTTTTTTCCTCTTCAGTTTTGTACTTAAGGGAACAAATGATTTAGTTACACAACTGGCTTCATCTCCACCTTGCTGAAAGCTGATAGTATTACAGCTAAGTTATGACCATCCTGTTGTTAGCCACGATGGCACATGGGAACTTTGGATGGACGATAGTCATACCAACTTATCTGTCCCATTCTTAGGCACAGGTATACTCAGCTCTGCAATGGAACCTTCCAGATCCAGATGAAAATGGTTTCATCTGTGACAATACATAACCCTCCTCTGAGCTATAAATACAATTGCAGGAAGCAGTTAACCTTCAGTCTTTTGAAGTTGTACATATGCACATTCTACCCTGGTGCTACCATCTTCTCAGCAACCCTTATAGCCATAGCTGGCTGCTAGTTCACAGATCCCTGGAAGAAGCAGGCTTTCTATGGACAGGGGTGCAGCTCAGAGGCACAGCATCCCCCCCCCCACATACAGGAGGACCAGGGTTCAATCCCTACCCCCAACTTCCTGAAATAGGTGGTACCTATGATTTGAGTCCAGGCTGAGCAAGATTAAATCACAGCTCCAACTTCATCAAAACGTGCGTGGCCTTATGAAAGCAAAAGCAACTCCCGAAGAGCAAGAGTTGGCATGACTAATTCATTTATTTGAATCAGAAAGAATTTAAAGAAGAGCCAAATATAGTAAAGAGAAGTTGGGGTGGGGGAAGCAGTTGATTAAAAAGCTGAGGGAACAAAATACCACTGCCTGAACATGTAATTAAAGAAGTCTGCCAAGAAAGGTCACCAAAGGTATAAAAGCCATGAAATATCTCCAGTGTTCGACCTTCACTGGAAGCATGCAGTGAATTTCTTATTGGGCTGGTCAGTATGGGACTGTGGGAAAGATCCCCTCCAAGGTCTCTACTTACTTTCTTTGCAAGTCACTGTGCTAAACACGGAGATACAGATGGAGATACAGACCAATGAGGCTCTGGTCCTCACAGCCTGCCCCTAGAAGTCGGAAATACAGTCATTGTCCTGGGTACTGAAGGTGGCAGGCAGCATGAAATAAGCATTACAAGGACACCGTGGCACAAAGAGGACAGAGATCAACTCTGTGAACATAATAAAAATGAATCACAGCAATCATGTAGCAATGTTTGATGAAAAATGACAAGGTCTCCCAGGGAAGAGAAACGGGAGTTTGAGTTAACCCAACGAGCTTGAGACGAATCGGAAGAAAGGGGGCTGGAAAGACCTCGTCAATTACACAGCCGTCCTAAAGGGTCAACACCTCATAAGCGTTCTCCATCTTTAACTTCTAAACAAATATATGAGTGATACAAAGCAGAATCACAGCCACAGGGTACTGTGGCTCACCCGGCCTCTACACCCTCCGCAGGATGTCACGTAAGCCTCAATCCGAACTGAGCTCTAATTGGATGCTTGACCTAGAGCTGCTCTCCCATGTCCACTCAGTCAATTCATCTGTAAATTGCAGCACCCTGGTCGAGTCTACGGTGCACTTCTGCTTTCCATCATAAAATAGAAGCCCTCAGAAAGGAAACTGAAGAGAAACAAAAGTGAATGAGCCTGAAGGAAATACAGTAGTGGTCTAAAGTACAAAATCCTATATCTCACTGCAAGACATGAGTTTCAACCATTTATATTTTGAGCAACCGAGAACCTGGGAAGAGACAGGCACTTATCGAGTCCTTTGGATGTGAATAAAAACGGGTAAAACAGGGTGAAACAGGAATCCTCCTGAGGCCATGCAACCATCGCCTCAAACCACCTTCCCTGGCCCTGAACACCAAAGATTCAAATTTTCTTCCTTAATGAATTCACCCCTGATGCACGCCCCCACCCAATAAACCAACCCCCAACGCGGTCGACCACACTCAAGGGTGTGTCCAGCTTTGGAAAGACAGCGTAAAAGGCGGTAGAAAGAACCTCGGAATCAGACAAATGCTGCCTGCCCTCGCCACGCGGTTGTCCTAAGCAACAGTGCTAAAGCAAACTGTTTTAAAACTTAAGAAATCCAGGGATCGTTCAACTCTGTCACATGAAAGGAACCCGCCACGACTGTGCCACAGGAGCCAGGCGAGGGAAGGAAGCGGTGAAGGGAAAGAGAAAGGGGCAGGCGGCTGGAGGATGCACCAGGAAGATGCAACAAGCCAGGACCAGCGGCCCCAAAGCTGGAGGATGCTCAGGGCCGCGGCGGAGCGGAGAAGCCGGGCGCGCACGCGCGCACACGCAGGACAGCCTTCCCCTGAGTTGTGTCTAGTCTCCCTTTTGTTTTTCTCGCTTCCCGGTCATGAGACCCGGAAGTTTTTTTTTTTTTTTTTTTTAATCCTGTCTCCCTTTTCCACCCCCCTCCCCAATCTATCACATGGCAGAGATAGAATAAAAACAGAAAAATGGCGTCGGTCACGTTGTGGCGAGCCTTCCTGCGTCATTAGATAATCCTCATGCAAATAGCGGGAAGAACAAAGGAGGGGGGGCCCGGGACCCCCGGGGGCGCA